TTGAAAGTTTCCCGTAGAACCACAATGGTTAAATACTGTGTAGGTGAAGGGGTGGGAGTACAGAAGAGAGGAATGTTATAGGTGTAGTATTCTGGCCTAATCTGACAGTTTGGATTTTTTTAGTACAAGGCAGTAATTCTGTGAGGAAATTTTTTGATAGTGGTAGGATGCAATATGAGTGTTGTAATTAGCAGCTGCATACTAAGATTGTGTTTTTTTTTTTTTTTTTTTTGGTATTTAATTAAGAACTCTGCAGTTGTTGTAAATAGTTATTTACCATCTTAATGTAAAACAAAAGGTGACATTCCATGCTAGTTCTGTTATAAAATATGACGTGAGGTTCATTTTCTTCTGTAGTCAGATGAATTATGTATTAGTATGACAAGAAATTATGCAGTTACGCTGCTGAAACAGTAAAGTGGAGTTGAAATAAAATTATCATTGGCAATTTATAAATAAGTTACTTTTTATATTTGTGGTGGTATATACCGTTTCATTAGCATTAAGACCTAAATTGAGACTGAAATGACCATTTTAAAAGGGTTTAAATGCTTTCTGTGACTGGATATTCTCTATAGATCTTAGGATAATTTGGACTGACTTGAAAACCCAGGAATTGTACAGTTCTGTGTTCTAACTTTTAACCTTGTAAGGGAAAAAATAGACTACAAAACTGTTTGTGATCGAGTAAGGATTATTGACTGTTTGGATTGGGCCCTTGATAGATGCCCAAATTAAACAAGCCATGAAAGAAATTTTTATTACAAGTTTAAATAGCCTATAAACCCTTTTGCTTTAAAACATTTTTCTTCTATTCATTTTAATATGCACACTGATTACAAGTATAGTGAAGAGTTTTTAATTTAAAAATTAATAATACCTAATTCTTGTATAGTGCTTATGCAAATATATCTGCTAGACAGGGAACCACCTCCTTGCAGTTTCAACATTGTGCTGACAAGTTTGATGGATCCACCTTTTGAATCCCTAGCTACATGTTCCCTCTTCCATCTAGCCATCAAAACAGCCTTTTTATTAGCAATAACATCTGCTAGGAGGGTGATGGAAATACAAGCACTAATGGTAGGACCACCTTTGCACTGCATATATGTATAGGGTGACCTTGGGACTTCACCTGAAGTTCTTGCCAAAGGTAGTTTCGGGCTTCCCTCTCAACCAAACAGTATTTCTACCTTTTTTCCCTGAGCTTTTAAATCAACAGAAGGGAAGGCTAAGCTTCACACCTTAGATGTATTTAGAGTGCTCTCCTACCCCTTGGCAGAAATAAGCCATTTTAGGTGTCCTCTAGATTCTTTGGAACCTATGATGATAGGATAAAATGTCAGGAAGTATCAACTCAGAGACTTTCTCATTAGGTTTCTACATATGTTAAGTTTTACTACAAAATAACCAATTTAGACGCACTGTTGAGGGTTACAGCCCCTTTAGCAGAGCTCAAGCAGATTCTACAGCCTCTCTGAGAACTGTTCCAATAATAGAGATATGTCGGACAGCTACCTCAAGTTCAGTACATACATTTACACAGCATTACTCTGTAGTAGAAGCATCAAGATCTGGTGCTCATTTTGGTGGGGCTGTCTTGCAATCATTCAGGTAGACTCCTAGTACCCCAGTTCTCCCCCATCCCCAATCTAGATCACTGCTTGTGGTCACCAACAGTGGAATATATATGGATAGGCACTCAATGGAAAAATTACAGTAACTGTGGTTCTTTGAGAAGATGTCTATATATTTTACATGATCCACCCTCTGTCCCAGCTACTGTGTAGTATTATAATACCTGGATTCTGTACTGGCAAAGGAAGAGGAATAGTTAGGGTTGCTCGCCCTTTATGGCTTTGGTTGGAAGGCCTGAGGATGCTCGAGCACTGGTGCAGTTCCAATAGATGTTGGCCAAAAGAATCTGAGCTCCAGTGCATAGGGAGCATGCACACCAACAAGTGGAATGTATAGACAACACATCTGCAAGAACCCTGGTTACTGTAAAGTAAGTTTCTCTTATTTCTATGGAAGTCCTCGGAATCTGTCTCATCCTGTTTAATCCCCCTCTCCCAGAGCTAAATGACACTGCTATCCTTCTTGTAGTCAAGGGCCATACGTGACTGCATGTATGTACTATCTGTAAGTGTAGCTCTCTACTTGGCAACAGAAATTTTCCTCCCTACTCCTACTGTACAACCTGAGGACAGGCGACTTAATGAGGAAGGGTTAGTAGTAGGTGCACCTTGAAGACAGAGGGTGAGTGAGATGCCAAAGAGGATGGGTATGTATGAGAGTGAAAAGGGAATGGAGTGGAGGGCACTGGGGCCTCTGTAGACATAGGGAAAGACTTGGAGAGGCTCCAAGCTACTGCAATGATCAGGAAATCGGGCGGAGGAGCTGAAAGTTTATAAAAACTGTAGATAATTTTCTAACACAAAAGGTATTATACCCAACATGAGAGGACTCTATTTTGTACCTATTTATAATGGATAAAGATGAATTGATAGTCACTGGACTGGAAGTTAGTTGTGTGTAGTGACCAGTGGTTATGATTTGATTACATTGCATATGGGCAACTTGAGGATAGATCCATCCAGTAATGCATATACTTGGTACTTCAAAAGAGCGAACTTTCCAAGGCGGAGGAGATTTATGAGCAGGATTAATTATGAGGCCAAAACTAAGAAAAATGTGAATGAAAATGTGGAGTTCTTGAATAGTTTGACATAGCCCAAAAGCCAAAATTTCACAATGAAGCAAGAAAGGGCAGCAATGACTGAAAGCCCATACTGGTTCAGTAGCAAAGAGAAGGCAGGAATTAGCAAATAGAAAAAAGAGGAAATAGCAATCAATATACATTTCAAATTCTGAAATGCAGAAAATTGATAGAGGAAGCTGAAGACCTGAGGGGAAAAAATCTGAGTGGCAGGAATAGGGACCACAAAGAGTTTTTAAAAATGTTAGAAACAAAAGAAATCCTAGCAATGGCATAGGCCTGTTTAATAGAAGGAGATGGTAAAATTGTTAATGATGTGGAAAAGGCATAAGTCTTTTTATTTCTGTTCTGTATTTGGAAAGGAGTAGGGTCATGTACTTGTATCCCATTAGTATGAAGAAGTACTTTCCAGTCTGTTAGTAACTATGCAAGATGCTAACATTTACTAGGGGTAACCATTTTGAAATTAGTAGGTCCAGGTAACTTGCTCCAGAGAGTTCTAAAATAGTTGGCTGAGGAGATCTGTTCTGCTGATATTAATCTGTAATAAATCTTGGAATTCCATGAATATTCCAGAAGAGTGCTAATGTTGTGCTAGTATTCAAAAAGAGTAAGTGGGATGACATGGGTAACTATAGGCTGGTTAGCCTGACATCAGTCCCAGTCAAAATAATGGAAATACTGATATGGGATTCAATTGAAAACTAAACAATAGGAATATATTTTAATGCCAGTCAACATGCTTTTGTGGAAAATAGGTCTTGTCAAACCTGATTTAATTCTTAGAGATTATAAATTTGGTTGATAAAGGTAACTGTATAAATGTATTAGACTTTGGTAACACATTTGACTTCATGCTGCATGAAGTTCTGATTTTGAAAATTAGCAATATACAGCATCAATAAAATACACCAAGTGGATTAAGCACTGGCTAACAGATCCCAAAGTGTTTGTTAGTGAAGAATCCTCATCAAATAGGGATGTTGCTAATGAGGCTCTGAAGGCATTTATATTTGGCCCAATACTATCCAACATTTTCATCAATGATCTGAAAATATAAAATCACTGCTGATAAAATTTGTGGATTATGTAAAAACTGAGGGAGTGGTAAATAATGACAGAACAGCCATACAACCAAATGCAAAGTTGTACACCTAGGAACAAGGAATATACCCCATACCTACAGAATGGGGAACTCTGTCCTGGAATGAACGGACTCTGAAAAAGGTTTAGGGGTCGTAGTGGACAAGCAGCTGAACATAAACTCCTAGTGCGATTCTGTGGCAAAAACAGCGAACGTGATCCTTGGATGTATAAACAAGAGTAGTGAATAGAAGTAGAGAGATGATTTTTATCTCTGTATCCCATGGCATTGGTGAGACCAGTACTGGAATACTGTGTACAATTCTGGTATCAACATTTTAAAGAGGATGTTGACAAATTAGAGTGGGTGCAGAAAATAGCCACCAACATTATTTGAGGGCTGGAGAAATGTTTTACAGTGAGAGACCTAGAGTTCAATCTGCTTATCTTATCAAAAAGAGGATTGAGAGGTGACTTGATTACTGTGTATAAGTACCTTCATGTGGAGACAATACTAAAGGGCTTCTTTATTTAGCAGAGAAAGGCATAACAAAAACCAATGGTTGGGAGCCAGATAAATTCAAATTGGAAACAGGCACAAATATAATAGAGGGAGATTAAACATTGGAACACATTGCCATCTACCCTGGTGGATTCTCCATCCCTTAATGTCTTCAGATCAAGACTGGATGCCTTTCTGGAAGATACGCTTTATCCAAATGCATGATACCGGACTCAATATAAGAGTAACTGGGTGAAATTGAATGGACGATACAGAGGAGGTAATCTAATTATCTATCTGGTCTTAACTCTGAGAATCTATGAAAAAGGCGGGTGTTATAGGGGAAACCCAAAAGGTGGGTTCAAGTGGTGTAAAGGAGGCAGCTGCTGAAAGGGGTAGTTATCAAAGCTTGCAGCTCCACAAAGGCAAATTACTTGAGATCTGCGGTTGCTCACCAACCAAGTGGCTGGCACAGCGGAATTCAGGGTTAATGATTGACTGTAGTGAACCTGAAAAGGGTTATGTAGGATTTGGAAGACCGATTTTCATGGTTGAGTCTTAAAGTACAGCAATTAAAAATCAAGAGTATCCCATCTCCATACACAAGAGATGCTTGATGCATTGTCTGACTAAAGGAAAAAATTGTAATTCTAAAACAACTTGTTAGAGTGACTGCTTCCGGTCTGCACTGGAAGTCTGAGCTGCTGCGGCGCACGTGTGCGGGCTGCTGGTGGTAACGGTTTCTTTCCGGTCTCTCTCTCCGTCTGTTGGCTGAGGCTCGCTCGCTCGCGGCCATGGCGTATCGCGGGCAGGGCCAGAAGGTGCAGAAGGTGATGGTGCAGCCCATCAACCTCATCTTCAGGTACCTGCAGAATAGGTCCAGGATTCAGGTGTGGCTCTATGAACAGGTGAACATGCGGATAGAAGGCTGTATCATTGGTTTTGATGAATACATGAACCTGGTTCTGGATGATGCAGAGGAGATACACTCAAAAACAAAAGCAAGGAAACAGCTGCGTCGGATCATGTTAAAGGGGGACAATATTACTGTTCTACAAAGTGTTTCTAACTAGAACTTGTCATTCAGAGGGTGGAATGCACTAAAGAGTGTTCCAAACTAGAATTTTCAGTTAATGTGTGGGGTGGACTAAACGTTGTTATAAACAAGAGTCACTGTGCTGGGAAAGTGGATGGTGTTTTGAAAATAAAAACTCCAAATGAGCCTGATTTGAAAAGAGTAAAAACTTAGCTGATATCTTTCCCTACCTTTGATAGTAACATTTTTTACATTGCTAGAATTATGTTACAATTGAAAGTGGGAAAGAAGGTGAGAAAGTAATCACAATAATGGGTTTTAATGCCTCTCACTCATCCCTTTTCACTGCTAAAAACTCTTTGGTGGACCAGCATAAATGTACCAATAAACTTTTCTAAGTACTGATCTTAGACTAGTGATCAGTAAGAAAAATTTCAATTCTGGACTAAAAAAATCAGAGTTCATAAATCTGATTTATTTTGACAAGTGTACTGTAATTTAGTTTTAATTTTTGATACTTTACTGTATATTAATACACTACAGTACTTTCACAAAAAGTAATGAGCTCATTACAGCTGCCTGCTATTAATCTATGCTGAGAAGTGAGTTGTGACTATCAAGATTGGAGGAGAGTTAAGGGATTATCAAAATAGTGATGTTGTAGGGCATATTTCTCCCATTTATCTGCAAACATTGAGAAAACAATACCCCATTGGCCTCAACAATAACTTTTACCCATGAGGGCTCTAATCCTCAGTGCAGGTAGTCATTCCAAATGGGAATTCTAAAACAACTTGGGCTATCTTCACTATTTAATCTAAACTTTCCCTATTATAATCCTTTTATCAGTCTTCTTAAACTGAACCTTCAAGGTCAAACAAATAGCTTTCATTCTTGTATTCATATAACTTTAAAGTATGTTGTGAACAGTTAAAAAAAAAAAGGAAATGTGCAGCTCAAAAGGATTTTCCTTTTTTACATAAGCTACAGGAAATTAAATACAAAGAAATTGAAATGCACTAACATATAAACATGAACCAAAACATGATCTGCGTTATTGGAGTTAAATGGTTAAACCTTTAAGTCAACAATTATAAACAAGTAAAGAATATTATAAAATAGGCTAAACATATGTTGAGTATTTAAGAACATTATGTTCAAACGTAGTTAATGCTTACTACACATGCAGCACTACGCTTTATGGTCCGTACTCTGTTGTTATAAATACGTAATAAATCACAGCCACAGCAACTGGTTGCTTATGTTCTTCCAGGTTTGTTATGGTAGGCTCTCTGATCATTTGCTTACATAATCACTACTATACTTTCTGTTTACAAACAAGGATCTCACAAACTTAGAGCTAAGACTGCTGAAGTAATTGGTGTAATACTTATGCAAAATGCATAGTCAGTATTAGCTACAAGAAGCCCAGAATGTCACCAGATTCAATCATCATTGGGATTTGTGGACTGTTATCCTCCAGTTTTTAAGTTCTCAACCATTTTGATTTAATGGATTACATGCATGCAACAGCAAGCCATGTATCTATGCCATGCCGAGAGTCCTAGACCATTGTGATATCAAAGGTAACTCAACCAGTAACCACCCTTAAGAACATAAGAATGGACATACTGTGGGTCAGATAAGTGGTCCATCTAGCCTGGAATCCTGTCTTCTGATAGTGGCCGGTACCAGATGCTTCAGAGGGAATGAACAGAACTGCAATTATCGAGTGATCCATCCCCTGTCATCAAGTCCCAGCTTATGGCAGTCAGAGGGATGGGAACACCCAGAGCATGGGGCTGCATCCCTGACCATCTTGGCTAATAGCCATTAATTGACATATCCTCCATGAATTTATCTAATTCTTTTTTGAACCCAGTTATACTTTTGGCTTTCACAACGTTCCCAGCAACAAGTTCCACTGGTTGACTTTGTGTTGTGTGAAGAAGTACCTCCTTATGTCTGTTTTTTTAAACCTGCTGCCTATTAACTTCATTAGGTAATGCCTGGTTCTTGTATTATATGAAGGAAGTAAATAGCACTTCCTTATTCACTTTCTTCACCATTCATACTTTTATAGACCTCTATCATATCCCCCTTAGTCATCTCTTCTCTAAGTGATCAGTTCCAGTCTTTTCAATCTTGCCTCATATGGTAGGTGTTCCATCCTCTAATCATTTTTATTACTCTTCTCTGTACTTTTTCTAGTTCTAATATATTTTTTGAGACGGGGTGACCAGAACTGCACACAGTGTTCAAGGTGTGGATCAGGGCCGTCTTTAGGATTTATGGGGCCCTATGCAGTATTATTAGGCGGGTGCTCCTATGCCCGACAGCAGCCTGGTCTCGCAGTCCGGGGGGAGGGACGAGGCAGCAAGGATACCGAGCTGCCTGGCCCGCCTCACGTTGGCGGAGAGTCACAGTTCCCTGCAGAGACCCCCCGTACCCTCTCCCTCATGCAGAATGCGTGGCGCCTGCACATTCGGCTCTTGAATGTGGCCCCTGCCTAAGGACACTACAGTTCGCACTGGGTGTGCGGGAGCCAACCCGCTCTTACCTGCTGTCATGGGCAGTAGGTGAAGCTGCCGCTTGGGGAGGCTGTGGCCTCACCCGTACTCCACCCCTGCTCTGCCCCAGGCCCTGCCCCCCCACTCTGCCCAGGCCCCACCCTTTCCCCACTGTCTCCCTTCTCTCTTCCCTCCCTGTCCCTGCTCACCCCCTTCCAGCCAAATCCCTGAACCCCAATGAAGCAAAGGACATTAGAAGGAAATTGCAGAAGAGCTTTTTTTTTTTTTTTTTGTTCCCCCCCCCCCCCCAAAAAAGAAAATGGAACATGTTTTCAACTGCATGCCAGATGGTGAAGACTGGACATGCAGAAGGTACCTAATTAAAAGCACTAAATTTGGGAATAAAAAATGTCAGTCACAGGTATTTGGATATACCCTGAAGTTTGTCAGAGATTTATTTGCAAAAACTTCGTAGTAAGGGCAAGTCTGCTGTCCTGCTGAATACAACATTAAATATTATGGAATACATGATGCAGTTCTTCTCTGTTTTACATTTTCTTAATCAGTATTTCTAAGCTGATTTTATATTTTAAATCTACACTTAAGCCTTCATAAAGTAATCATTCCAGATTACTACATATTTAACTCACTGAAACAAAGACATTATTTTAAATTAATCAGTCAAAGAGATTCATAACAATATTCATTGCTTTTAGAAAAAGGGAACACTAATTTTCTTTGTGTGATCTCCATAACAATAGACATGTTTATGAAATTTCACCAACTTTAAAAAATAGGTTTTCAAAGATTTTAGGTATAACAAAGGATGTTATATCTTACTAAGGTATTGATTTTGCTGGAGGGTTCTCTTAAAACTAGTTCATCAAATAGAAGTAAAGAAAGGGAAACTCTTGTCCAGCTATCTGGAAGGAAAGGGTTTGTTGTCCCTTTAAGGGCTCTCTTCAACAGGGTGGTGAAGGGAAAAAGGGATGGACAGAAAGGACAGGAAGACCTTGGAGGCAAGTTTTTGTCTTATAATATTTTAAATTAAAATGTGTATTTTAGATAAGGGTGGTCTTTTGAAGGATTTATTTAAAAAACTATATGTCTGAAGATCCAAGCATTTAAGGCTAAATATGAATACTCAGACTGTGCATCTAAAAATCTATGCAAGGATTTTTTAGAGATGTGATTTTTATAATCTTAAGCAATCTTGTAATGAAATATTTTTAAAGCAATTTTTAAAGTAAGGTCCTGTAGACTAACCTGTTCTGAGTAAATATTACAGTAATGCAAAACTGTTTTTATCAGTAAATTCAGAAACTGATAGTATATACTTAGAGGTTGGCAAATGCTTGTTAAATGGATTCATTACCACTTGAATGGCTCTTTAACAGTTTCACTGTTGTGCTAATACGTCTGGCAGACTGGAAGGCTTTTTCACTTTTAAGTTACTAGATCCCCTCCTGAGGAAGACTCACCAGGCTGCAGCAGCTAGCTATGGGAGCCTGCAGGAAGGGTCAGAACATGGATAGGAAGAGGGCAGCGGGTGGACACTAAGACCCAGGGGTGCCCCAAATTTTTGGGTGCTCTACACAGCCCTGTATGCTGCGTAGGGACAGCCCTGGTATGGATATACAATGGATTTATATAGTGGCATTGGATATTTTCTGTTTTGTTATCTATCCCTTTCCTAGTGGTTACTAACATCCCATACTGTGCAGCTAATTTGTGCACAACAATTTCATTGGCTGCATGAAGGAGACTGCACAGATGGTGGATTATTTGGCTTAACTGCCAGACCCATGAAACAGCACAGGGTTTCACATACTAGTTTGTAAGCAAGAGAAATCTGACCTCAGCTCTACATTTAAAAAAATGAGTCACTTGTAAATTAATAAAACTATTGAACATTAAATGAATTAACTTCAGATTTCTCCAAAATTCAATCTTTGTCTTTAGAATAAGTGATGTTGATCACAACCAATATTACACTTGTCTGGTCTAAGAGGGATTTAAAGCCTGTTTTTAACTGGAAAAACGGACACATTCTTATTGTATAGTGTCTGCCAGTGCCTCCATAACATTGTGAAGTAGAAAAAAAAGAGTTATGGACATGTTTTGGCACATCTCCCATGCACGTCTGCCATTGTTAACTCTGCCTACATACCTGACAATGCAGCCAAGCAAATTCCATTCTACAGCTGTTTCCTTCGTAACAGCATGTAGCTGTAGAAATGAACTACATAACTCTAAAGGAAACCCAAAAAACCTGCTAGTTTCCATAGATTTTTCGCAAGTATTTTGAATGCCTTAAAAATATTACAAACAGATTGAAAAGTAGTATTTATGGGCAACAAAGATGGCAATGGAGATGAACAATTCCTGAGACTTTGGAGTTAACAAATCTCTTGTGATCCAGTGAGGATAAAAATAGTTCTGTTTTTCACTGTGGTGGTGTACGCAACAATATTTAACAAGATGTATCTTCAATTCTGAGAAGTGTTAAAACTATACTAAGTACTTTGTGGACCATCGGTTTCATTATTCACAACTTTTCTTTTCCCCGCCTTCGACCCGTTTGCTTGCAACAGTTCTACCTTGTGCTAAACATTCCTC